ACTTATGGCAATACTCCTGGTTATGGTAATTCATTCAAGGATGAGCATATGACCCAATTCAGGCCAATTATATTCAATTCTTGGACGTCTATTTGAGTGAATAAGAATATCTTTCTTTTCTCTCTCTCTCTCTCTCTCTTTCCCTCTTTCTCCCTCAATTGGATATATATCCACAAACACATAGCCTCAGGAACAACTGGCAGTACTGGCAGCTATCCTGCACCAGGAAGGGAGAGTTTGCTGAGAATGAAGTCAGTCTCAAGAAAAACTGAAAGAGAAAAACCAGGTCCTGGTGACATTATTTGAGATGTTGGATCAAGCTGTGCCTAAAGCCAGGTACTTGTGGACTCTTTGGTAACGTGCACCAATAAGTTCTCCTTACTTTTTTGTGTGTGTATGAGGGAGATTGTCCCTGAGCTAACATCTGTGTCAATCTTCCTCCATTTCATGTGGGATGCCACCACAGTGTGGCTTGATGAGCAGTGCTAGGTCCACGCCTGGGTTCCAAACCCGTGAACCCTGAGCCTTGGAAGTCGAGTGTGGGAACTTAACCACTACGCAACCAGGCTGGCCCCTCCTTTTACTTTTGAAAGTCAGTTTGAGTAGGAGTCTCTGTTACCTGTTATTCTGACACCAATTCTAACTGCAACACAATTTTGATGCTAACAACCTAGAGTTAGTGTCAGACTCCACAGGTTTAAGGGCACAGTCCTTAGCAAGACTGACCTTACTTAAGATGCCAGCCACACTTTGGGGGGGCCTCCACACTTCTGACCAACTGGTGAAACTTCAGGGGTTCCCACAACCCCCTCAGGTACAATAATGCACAAGAGTGACTCACAGAACTCAGGAAAGTGCTACACTTGCAATCACAGTTTTATTTAAAGGACACAAAAAAGGGCCAGACAAATGAAGGGTGAGGTTTGGGAAGGTCTTGAACACAGAGCTTCTGTGCCTTCTCCCTGTGGAGCAGGACATGCCCCTTCCCATCACACCTCTGCTCCCCAAACAGGAACTCCTCCAGAGATTTTGAGATTTCCTCATGCAGGCATGATTGATTGGATCACTGGCCATGTGAATGAACTCGGTCTCCAGCTATGGTAGACGTGTTTCCTCGACCTCCTCCTCCTTGTCTCCTCCGCCTCTGCAGTAGTTCAATCCCTCATCACCTCTCACTTGAACTCTTAGTTCCCACTTCTATTCCATGCCAGGTTACCACAGCTATGGCCTCACTCTGCCAGCTTCTGTGCCCTGATTGTGCTGATGGATTGAATAAGGGTAGTAGAAAAAGAGAGGAGTCAACAATGATGCCAACATTTCTGGCCTGAGCAAAAGGGTGCTTCATAAAGCCATTTACTGAGATGGACAAGACTGAAGGGAATTAGGTTTTATAGCAGGGACTCAAGAGTTTGATTTTAGACATGTTTAGTTTGGAATATTGTTAGATATCCAAGGAGAGAAGCTAGTGGAGATATGAGTCTGGAGTTCAGGGAAGAGGTTGAGCTGTAGATTTACATTTTTGGAATCATTATCATACAGATGACATTTAAGATGAAAGAAATGAGGGGGCCAGGCCAGTGGTGCAGCGGTTAAGTTCGTATGTTCTGCTTCAGCAGCCTGGGGTTTGCCGGTTTGGATCCCAGGTGTGGACCTATCCACTGCTTGGCAAGCCATGCTGTGGCAGGCATCCCACGTATGAAGTAGAGGAAGATGGGCACGAATGATAGCTGAGGGCTGGTCTTCCTCAGCAAAAAGAGGAAGATTGGCAGCAGATGTTAGCTCAGGGTTAATTGTCCTCAAAAAAAAAAAAACAAAGATGAGAGAATTGGTTAAGATTTTCTAAGATGAGTGCAAGCAAAAACTGAGTAGAAGTCCAAGGATGGAACACTAGAATATTCCAATACCTAAAGGTTGAAAAGAGAAAGAAGATACAACAAAACAACTGAGAAGGGGTGGCCAATGAAGTGAGGAGGAAATCAGCAGAGGGTAGAAGCCAAGTAAAAGTCTTTCAAGAAAGAGGAAATGATCAACTGGTCAAATGCTGCTGTTAGGTCGAGTAAGTTGAGAATTGGATTTGGCAACCTGAAGGTCATTGGTGACCCGGATAAAAGAAGTCTCAGAACAGTAATGGGGATAAAAGACTTATAACAGGTCTTATGTGTTATAAAGTTAAGATGCAGTAGAAAGAAAGAAAGAGAGAAGTTTTGTTATATAAAGGTGAATAGAGAAGCAGTGTAATAGCTGGAGAGACATACGCCATTAAGGGAGGGTTTTTTTTCAAGAAGGCAGGGAAGATTGATGATGCAGGAGAGCGAGGGGAATAGGTGTGGAGGCAAAGTCCTTGAGTCAGTGAGCACTCTAGACATGTGACTATTTAGGCCTGGAGCTGAAGAGAGAGATGGAGGCTGGAGACACAGATTTTGAAGTGATTAACTTATATATGAAAGGGACAAATGTGGGAGTGGGTGAAATTGTTTGGGGAGAGTGAAAAACAGAAGCCAGGGACAGAACCCTGAGGTATCAAAAAATTTAAGAGAATAAGGGGAGAAGACGCAGTAAGGAAGACTAACAAGGAATGTCCTCTATTTTCCAGTTATTCTTATGCCCATAGTACATGGCACACTGTTTCATCTCTCATGACTGGAAATCCTTCCCTTCCCTAGATTCATACTCCTCTCTCATAGAACTTTATACAAATCTTTATTAGCACTTATTTCACTACATTTACACTATATGTCTGCTTCTCCCACCAACCTGAAAGGTCCCTCTGCCAAAAACTTTATTCATCTTTTTATCTACAACTCTTAACATAATGCATAAGAGGTGCTAAATGAATGATGCATGGAGGAGGGGGAAGTTAATCCACAAATAGAGTATGTAATATACAAGCATTAGAAAGTGTAAACATGCCTTTTGTGCCTTTCTAAAAGAAATATACATGTTGGAAAGAACTTACCAGTGAAGCCATCTGGAGCTTTCTTTGTGGAAAGGTTTTAAATTATGAATTCAACTCCTTTAAAATATAAAATATAGATTTTTCTATTTATTATTGTTTCAGTATTGGTAAGTTTTGTTTTTTAATAAAATTTTTCATTTCATCTGAGTTGTCAAATTTATTGGTATAAAATTATTTATACTATCCTCATATTTTTAATGTCTATAGGACTTGTAGTGATGTCCCCTTTTTTATTGCTGAAATTGGTAATGTGTTTTCTTATACTCTTCCTTGATTACTCTTGCTAGGAGCTGATTAATTTTTTTAGACTTTTTGAAGATTAATAAGTTTTGGGTTTGTCAGTTTTCTTTCTTGTATATCTACTTTCTATTTCATTGATTTCTGGTTTTATCCTTATTCCTTTCTCTTACTTTCTTTGCATAAGCTTGCTGTGCCCTTCTCTAAATTTCCCTCTGAGCTCTGAATCCTATGGGCAGTTCTCTAGCCAAAGTGGCCCATTAGAGGAGTTCCATGTCTCAAAGGAATGAGCCTGCATTATTGCCCCACTATGCTTAGTCATTAGTGAGGAATAGGTTGTAAGAAGTGTCACCTCAGTTGTGAACACATTGGTGGATCCAGGTCAGTAGCTGGGGCCATCAATTAACTATGCTCTGCCTAGCAGGAGATCTAGTGGCCCATTTTCAGAACCACCACAGTCTACTCCTTTGCCCCACAGATCTACTTCTTCATGCAAGGTTGGGGAGAAGCTCTTCCCTGGTTCCCATGGGCCTCTCTTCCTGCAGGGAAACTTAGAAAAGGAAGGTTAGTAGGATGAACTATATATAGCAGTTGGCCTGGAAGCTACAATTGATACTCATTCTCTCCCTTTTCCACTCTTCACTCTAAATTCCCCTCACCCTCGGTTATCACCTTAGCAGGTCTTGGTGGCTTATGTGGTGGTGTGAGCCAAACCTTTATTCCTGAAGGGTCTGAGTTCCTGGTAACCATACCTTTTCAGGCCAGAGTTGATGCATGTATTCACAGTTAAAATGGTGCAAGGAAGTATCAAGAGATGCCCAAGTGGACCACATGGATTCTCTAAAAAGCAGTGCTACCTTCTCCTACCGATCAGGGTCAATTATCCTTGTCATGATGGTGACTCCTCTTTTTGTCTGCTGGTCTCTGAAAAATGAGTCCAAAGTGCCCCAGCAACAGTCATAGCTTGTAGTTCAATGGGACTCTTGCTGTGTCCCTTAACAGGAGTGCAACCCCTTTTGGAACCAGTACCTCCAGCCCTATAGATCCCAGATTTGTGTGTGTCAGCAGCACAAAATCCTCTAGTGGGTCATTGGTAGTGAAGGTAAGTGGGACTATTCCTGAATCCATTCCTTGGCTAGTGGACCCATGTATTTTTCCTATTGGGGTCATAAACTCCTCTGATTTAATGTGTATAACACATCCTGAATGATAGAACCAAATTTTTTGAGATTGTTGCCTTTCAGTGACACTTCACTTGTGCCTTTAGAAAGTTATTCTAGCTTTCCATGAGGCCAGCTTTTTCTGGATGGTGTGGTATGACCAGTACATCCCATAGTCATGGGTCCACTACACTCCCACAGTTCTTTTACCATGAAGCAGTTACCCCAGCCAAATGCTCTATTATGCAGGATTCTTTGCCTGTGGATCAGGCATTCCATAAGCCCCAACATGGTAATGCTGGCTAAAGATCTGTGGGTGGAAAGGAAAATCCCATATGCAGAATAGCTATCTATTACTCTGAGAAGGAACCACTGGCCCCTCCAAGATGGAAGGGACCCAATGTAGTCAACTTGTCACCAAGTACCAGTTGGTCTCTTGGAGTAATAGTGCCATTTGGGGGACTCAGCATTGGTCTCTGTCGCTGACAGTTTGGACATTTAGGCATCAGTAGCTAGACCAGCCTTGGAAAGTTGTAGTCCACGCTCTTTGGGCCCATACATAGCCTTCACCTCTGCCACTGTGGCCACTCCATTTACGTGCCTGTGTTAGTTTCTCAGGGATGTCATAACAAAGAGCCACAAATTCAGCAATTTAAACAACAGAAATTTATTGTCTCACAGTTCTGCAGGCTAGAAGTCTGAGATCAAGATCAAGATTGGTTCCTTCGGAGGGCTGTAAGGAAAACCTATTCCATGCACCTCCCCTAGCTTCTGGTGGTTTACTGGTAATCTTTGGCATTCCTTGGCTTCTGCTGCATTACCATATTTTTATCTTCACATGGCATTCTCTCTATGTATCTCTGTATTCACACGGCTGTCTGCTTAAAAGGACACCAGTCATTTTGAATTAGGGCACCCTACTCCAGTATGATGTCATCTTAACTAATTATACCTGCAACAACCCTCTTTCCAAATAAGGTTACATTTTGAAGTATTGGGGTTAAGACTTCAACATATGAAATTTGGGGGGATAAAAGACAACCCACAACGGTGCCCATCATGCTGGTTCCAAGGTGGCTAATTATTAGCTGGTAATGACAACTGAATGAGTCATTTTGTCTAGTCGATTGTTTAGTGCCTCTTCCCTGGTGGATGCAAGATGTGATACAAAAATCTTCACATCATGCCCACTCCTGTACATCCATCTACATGACTCTACCCCAGAACTCCTTGTCTTTGATCTTCCAGTCCTTTTCCTTCCAGGCTCCCTACCAAAGGGCCAGGCCATTGATATCTACCCAAGAATCTATACATATTCTTACTTCAGTCTGCTTCTCCTTATACACAAAGCAGATGACCAGGGACAATGATTGCAACTCTACTCATTGAGATTTTCCCTCTCTGCCGTTTTTCAAAGTCTCTCAAGAATGTGACTATAATGCAGCCACCATCTGGCTTGCACCCACATACTAAGCTAACTCATCCATAAACCAAGCTCAGGCTTTAGCCCTCCTCATTCAGTGGTCATGGTGTTGGTGCAGCTGTGGTGGGTGACATGGGGCTCTGGAATACCTGGTCCTGGCACTTACAAGTGCCACAGCTGTGCTTGAGCTCCATCCCAGATGTACCATTTTCATTTTATAATAGATGCTGCTGGGTCCATCTGAACCAACAGAACCTAGTCCATAACAGGTAGTTCTGGACATGTGAATACTTGATGTCCTATGGTTAAGTGTTCTGTCTCCTCCAAGGCCCAGGATCACACTAGTAGCCAGGTCTTAAAATGTGTATTTCTCTGCTGCAGATGGCATGGCTTTGCTCCAGGGTCCCAGGGACTGCACTGTGATTTTCCCACTGGGGCTTACCATAAACTCCATCTTAGTCAGCTCAGGCTGCCATAACAAAATGCCAGACTGGATGGCTTAAACAACAGAAATTTATTTCTCACAGTTCTGAAGGCTAGAGATCTAAGATTAAGGTGTCGCCAGGTTTGGGTTCTTCTGAGGCCTCTCTTCTCGGCTTGCAGATGGCCACCTTCTTGCTGTGTCCTCACATGGCCTTTCCTCTGTGTGGGCACGCCCCTGGTGTCTCTTTATGTGTCCACATTTCCTCTTCCTATGGGGACACCAGTCAGATTGGATTGGGGTTCACCCTTCATTTTAAATAAGTTAAAAAAGCTTCATTTTAACTTAATCGCCTCTTTAAAGGACCTATCTCCAAATACATCCTGAGGTATTGAGGGTTTAAGGCCTCAACATATGAATTTTGGGGAGGGTGCAATGCAGCCCATAATAAGAAGAGATTTATTAGGGGAAATGTCTGTGAAAGACAAAAGGGAAGGGAGTAGGACACTTTGGGAGAGTCTGCAAACTGATACAGGTCTGACATAAGGAGAGGGAAAAGAAAGGATTGTGTAGGTAGCATCTCAGACTGCAGCAGATCTAAGAAAGTTTCAGCAAGTCTGATGGGAGTCCTCAAGCCAACGCTGTCCATTAGAGGAGCCCCAAATATAGCCACAAGGAAGCTGCATTCGTACTTCTGCCACGCTCAGTCATTGCCAGAACTGGCAAATCATTATTCCTTGAGGGGTCTGCAGGAATCAAAGCTAGTTAAACCTCCCAGTATCCTTGCTAAAAATCATTACTTATTCTTACAAAATGATTAAAGTAAAAAAAATCACATACAAGGTGAAGCAGCCAAATCTAAAGTGTCTTTTTAAGTAAATAACAAATTATAGCTGCTAGAGATAAATGTGAACAGATGGATTTGGGTGACACAATATTTAGGAAGAGCAAAGGGACCTAGATTAGATTGATTTGAAATCACGAAATTCTCCACATATTTTCTGCCATTCGCCCAGGAATGTCTGACACAAAGTGACCATATATGACATTTGCTAACAAATCTCAGTATTTTCAACATTGGGCTGTTAACTTTACCAAACTATTTCATTTAATTCCAGTGAAATGGCAAGGCTTCTAATCTATAGATGGAAAAGTATCATGCTTTATTGTAATATAGTTTAGACATCTGTGTTTCATCTCCAAAATAATTATGGCAGCTTTCAATTATGGGATCGCTTTCCTTTCTTTGCAAAAAAAGTACCAAAATATCTATGAGCTCTCAGCCCTCGGGTGAATGCAAAGCTTTCACTAATGTGCAAATGATGCGCATTTCTCCAGGAAGAAACACTCCTTTTCATCTGTATTTCACCTAAAAAAGTTGTGACCAACAAACTTCTATTTTACCAAAAACACACACACACACACAAAAGCCCACAAAGGAAATAAAAGAAAAAGAAATATTAGTTTTAAATTAAATTTTAAGAGTGGCAATTTGAAATGCTGAATTTTCTACTTACTCTAATTCTCCAAGTGACACATATACTGGCCCTCAAAGAACTCACATTTCGATTACTTTCCTTTTCTCTTTTTCTTTTTTGTGAGGAAGATTAGCCCTGAGCTAACATCTGCCGCCAATCCTCCCCTTTTTGCTGAGGAAGACTGGCCCTGAGCTAACATCCATGCCCATCTTCCTCTACTTTCTGTGTGGGATGCCTGCCACAGCATGGCTTGCCAAGTGGTGCCATGTCTGCACCTGGGATCCCAACCAGCGAACTCCGGGCCACCGAAGCGGAACAAGCGCACTTAACCGCTGCACCACCAGGCCGGCCCCATTGATTACTTTCCTTTTAAAAAAACTTATTTTTATTGTGGTAAAGTACATGTAACATAAAATTTACCATTTTAACCTTTTTAAGTGTACAGTTCAGTGGCATTAAATATATTCACACTATTGTGCAACTATCATTACAGTCCATCTCCAGAACTTTCTCATCATCCCATACTGAAATCCTGTACCCATTGAACAACAATTCCCCAACACCCTCTTTGCCTGTCCTAGGTAACCACTGTTCTACTTTCTGTCTCTATGAATTTGACTATTCTAGGCACTTCACATAAATACAATCATATAATATGTGTCCTTTTGTATCTGGCTTATTTCCTTAGCATAATGTCTTCAAGCTTGTAGCATGTGTCAGAATTTCATTCCTTTCTAAGGCTGAATAATATCTATCGTATGTATATACCACATTCTGTTTAGCCTCAATTACTTTACTTTTAAATAGCTAATCTCTCATTTTATTCTTTCAAAGAGATACCACAAGGCTTTCAAGATTACTTTTCTCAGGGAGTGTCTATAGCATCACAGTAGCTGCCCAGATGCCAGTTCCCTGCTTTTGCTGCCACCATCCAAAGTTCGATGTGATCTCTTTTATGGTTATAAGTCTTGGGAACAATTCCTAACCCTTTTCTTCTGTATCTCTCTTTAGACATTATCAGGAGAGTTATACACACTTTCAAGCATCTTTTTTTTAAGTAGTAATTTCTAGTTTACGTAGTCAGAAATATTTACAAGTTAGACTATTATGGGTATATAAAAAAATTCAGTTTTGGGATCAGTTCTCACTGGTTTCTTTGTTTGGGTAGTGTCTCCAGTCCACTCTGACTATTCTGCCACAAGTTACTTTGCTCCAGGACTCACGTGCCTAGCTCTTTAAGATGTTTATATACGCTTCTCAGTTTCTGAATCTAAGTCATTCTCTTACGTTTTACTACATTCTTTCCTTTCTGTCAGCTATGGCTCCTTTATTATTTTTCTCAGAGGGACATCTAGTTCAACTTCTATTGAAACTTATTTATTGAACTGAATTGATTATGGGCAAGAAACTATACTGGGTGCTGGATTTTTATGTCATAACGATCCACTTTCTTGGGAGAAAACAAGCTTTCCTTTCTCACCTACAATCAGCTACCTGTGGCTCCCCTTTATTTACGATACACAGGGTACAAACAAACACATTTACCCAGAGGAGATTCCACATACAAGTAATTTTGAGACATCCACTACCATATCTGCTATTAGTAGAGGCTGCAGAGCGCTCTGCATCCCCAGGTTTTTAGGAAACATTATTAAGCTCAAATACCTATATAGGTATATAGGTAACACCTACGTAGTTGTTTAAGGATCGTTACTATACATTAATTTCAAAAGAACTTTGAAAGAGCAAGCATAGTGAATTTAACTAACATTTCTTATAGAAAGGCCACATGAGGTGACCAGAAACCTAAAGGACATTCTTCTTTTCTCAGAAATCTAACAGATCCCTGAGAAGTGCTACTTGGAACTTTCCTCACTTTTATTGGTGTCAGACATCTGATTGGCTAAAGACCACAAAACGAAACTCCTATTGAATTCATGAAGGCAGGAAATAAATGATGGGAAAAACAGATATCAATGCCCCAAAAGCATATTTCTATATTTCCGCCACCACTGAAATGTCTTGGTCATTTACAAATCTAATCTAGGGACAAATATGAATTCTACTGGAGCGATACAGGACTAGAAAGGTTAGGATTTGACTGTGGTTTAACTGGAAATGGAACCCTGGCATGTCCCTTTCACTTATATACTGCTCATTAAATGACTTCTTAGCTGGCTATCTTTCTTGAACAAATAACTCATTTATAGTCTATGAAGTCGTGAAGTTGCTCTCCTACCCTTAGGGAAGAGAAGCAAGAAGCATAAAAAAGGTGGCGCCGTTAGCTAACTCTCCAAGAGTAACAGAAAAAGCAGTGAACCATGCGAAACCCAGATCCAGAGCTCTGGGTCACCAGGTCTGAAACCTGTGTTGGAGGCGGGGGGTGGGGAGCAGGAAGGAAGGAAATGCCGGTAAAATTACCTTGACCAGGCGGATACTTGAGGACTTTCCTACAGACTAGAACCCACCAACTTCCCTCAACCAACAAGCCACGGGAGGGGTGCGCTGAAGCGAATGAACTCGCCCACGGCGCCCGCTCAGACCCAGGGCAGCGCGCCCCGTCTCCATCGGAGTCGAGTCCTGGAGGGCTCTGCGCGGCACCTCGAAGGAGACGTCACCGGAGCCGGAAGAGCGGGAAATCGGCAATAAGCTAGGCGGATGGAGAGCGTGGAGAAAAGAGCCAACGTGCTCTGGAATGGATTACGGGACGCGGCGAGGGACCTGTCAAATCCGAGTTCAGACAGCTCACCTCTCGGTAGAAGTTCTCTCAGTTGCCAGTCTTGCTGCGGGTTCACACCTTCCCCAAAAGGAGAACTCTGCCCACCCGGCTTCAGTTGGGAGCGCTCCTAGCAACCACCCACCGTTTAAAGCGGAAGGACGAGCCCTGTCCCGCCCTCCCTGGACCAACCGAGACCTGGCGGGGAAGCGCGTTAGCCCAATCATCTCGGCCGGAACTGCGACCAACCAATAGGAGGCAGGCACAGGAGGGCGGGCTGAAGGGGTCACGGGCGCAGGCGCAGTTGGGAGCAGGGCTCCGGTTCTGTGGCGGTGTGGGTGAGTTGGGTGCTGCTACGCTCGTGTTGGCCCTGAGAAGCCCCGCGGAGCCGCTGCTGCCTTCTCCTGCTCTCGCCATGTTCCTCACCCGGTCTGAGTACGACAGGTCCGTGCAGCGGGGGGACATGGGTTCGGCGTTGTGGGTGGGCAGGCCCGGGGCCGGGCCTCGGCCTGGGTTCTGCCGTGTCACGGGGCGCCCCGGGAACCTGAGTGTGGCCCGGCCTGGGGATGCCCTGCCTTCCCCAGCCGCCAGCTGTGATTCCCCAAGCTAGACTTGCGCCCAGCGGCCGCGCTCGTGCTACCGCTGAGTCACTGCTGGGTCCTCGCTCGGTGCGGAAGCGAAAACCTCCGCTTTGTGCTTGGGAACTAAGGCTGAGGAGCCGGGACTCTGACCTTTAACCCGGGGAAGGCGAGGGGTCACCCGCTTCCCCGTTCATCTTTTCGTGCTGAGTAGGACTACCTTTTAAAAAAAACGTAGACGTGTGCCTGGAAGAAAAAGCAACTAGAGATTATTTAATGGGTTTGGTAGTTTCAGCTCCCCTTTCCTTCTAGGCGAACAACCTCGTTTTTCATTTCTTAGTGGTGGGAATAGAGCAGGCTTTCCTTTGAGCTGTGGTAGGGCGTGCTGGGATGAATGGTTTCTGCAGCAGCGCGAAGGCAGTCTCAGCCATGCCCAGATATAATGTCTGGAATCTGATGTTATAGGAACTGGAATTTAGAGTGGTTTTCAAGAGTTTTCTCAGTACGCTGATTCCACTACACCTAGGCTTCTCTGACTTTTTGAAAAGTTTAAGTTAATTTGGGTGTCTTTTGAAGGCCAAATCTGTTTGCGAAATCAAGGTTGTGAGATCGTTTGAAAAAAAAATCTTTCAGGCCTAGGAAATGTTAAGTAATATTAAATTGCACCTATTCATGCTGTAGACAATTTTACTTTCAGTTTCCGTTTTGATCAATTAAGTTTTCACATAGCTTTTAGGTTTTTTTAAAGCCGGGAAAGGCAGATATTTTCTTTGTACTAAGTGGTTTGAGAAGCTGCATTTCTTGTCAGGTATACGTTGATTCTGTCAAAAGTTTTGTCACCTGGAACTACCACTTTTTTTAGCCTTTTACTGACTCATAAAAGATGTACGTGAAGTTTTAAAACTGACGTCTTTTCCTACTGTTCTATAAAATGACTTTGTTAATCAATATTTAGCTTCCAGAGCACTGAAGAAAATGATCTTTGGGTGATATAATTTTGAGTTAGGGTGTGTATGATGGAAATTGTATCCTTATCAGAAAGCCTTTATTAAGATTTTGTGACCATTTATTTCACATCTTTCTTGACTGCTTTCTGTTATTTTTCTGTCTTCCCAAGAACGCCTAAAATATAGGCCTTTTTTATTCACTTAACTGATGTACTTGAATGCTTGCTGTGTACAAGACACTGCTAGTTGCTGGTCATACAGCATTGAATAAAATCAAGATCCTTGCTTTCATATGAGAGACTCTTTTATTTTATTTTTTTTTCTTTTTAAAGATTGGCACCTGGGCTAACAACTGTTGTCAGTCTTTTTTTTTTTTTTTTCCTGCTTTATCTCCCCAACCCCCGCCCCGTACACAGTTGTATATCTTAGTTGCAGGTCCTTCTAGTTGTGGGATGTGGGACGCCGCCTCAACGTAGCCTAACAAGCGGTGTCATGTCCGCGCCCAGGATCCCAACCCTGGGCCACCGCAGCGGAGCGCGCGAACTTAACCACTCGGCCACGGAGCTGGCCCCTGAGAGACTGTCTTTTAAAGAACTGTTTACAAAAGTAGCTATAGTATGAGTCAGAAATGTATTCGTGTCATTAAAGAAATTCAAATCAATACAATGGGAGTTTTGATGAGAGATTGCGTTCAATATTAAGGGATCATGGAAAACTTCACAAAGGAGCTGATGCTTAAACTGAGTCTTGAGAAAGGTTTTAATAAATATGGACAGTGAGTGTCAATAGTTTTGAGGCAGAAAATATAAGATGAACAAACGAGGGGCAGTGGGAAAGCACAGTGCATATTTGGGAAAATTCCAGTCTGGCACATATGATACATGTATGGGAATAACCGGAGATACGGGCTAAGGCATGATAGCACTAGGTATTAGATGGTTTTTAATATGAGATTAAGGAGTTTGGGTCTTATTCTGTAGGCAACTGTGCGCCATTAATTTTTGTTTTAAGAAGTTACATAATCCTAATTGTGTTTTATAGAGATTAAGTGACTGGATTAGAGGAAAGAGCAAGTCAATGCCTGTTAGAAGGCTATTACAATAGTTAGGTGAAAGGTAATGAGGGCATTGAGAATGGAAGAAGAGAGTGTTGAGTTACTGTGGAGGAGGAATTGCTATGAATTGATATGACTTGGCATATGGTTAATATGGGAGAAGATGGGGAGGAATGAATTGGATCATTCAGAGCTTTCTAGCTTAGGGAACTGGAAGATTAGAGATGTCTTAATATAAAAAATGACTTTGGAATGGCAGGAGATGGAGCTGATTTTTCAAGGGTGGCTGGATTTAAAGAGGTATTTCAGATTGGAAAATGTTGAGTGATCGGTGCTAATGGGATATCCAAGAGGGAATGCTCAGGAGGCTTTTATTAATCAGGGACTTGGTCTAATTGGTAATAGAAATTTGGAAGTAGCTGGTGCTTGGCATAAATGAAATAACCCAAGGAAACAGTAGAGTTTGAGAAGAGGGCCAAGAGCAGAGCACATTTTAGGGAGGATGTAGTGATACCTCACTAGGGTGAAGTTCCTTAATTAGGGTGAAAATAATATATTTACAAAGGTCTTCCATACTCTATGCAATTCAGTATTAATTGTCTTGTCATAGAGGCAGGATAGGATTTTTTTGTTTGTTTGTTTGTTTTATTTGAGGGAATTAAAGCTAGTAAGTGGCAGAACTAGGACTTTATCCCAGGTCTTCTATGCTCAGACTTTTCTGTCAGTGATTTTTAAAAACTTCTTTCGAATCCTAAACTTCCTTTTATATGACCTCAGGGATTTTACCTCAGATGGGAGCCTGGGATGGCGGGATTCTCCTTTGACCCTTGACTTAACCAGAACAATTCCCAGAGGCAGTATAGTGGAATAGTGGAAAGCTTAGTCTTGGTAGTCAGATTGCCTAAATTCTTATTCCAGTTCTGCCTCTAACATGCTGAGTGACTTTGGGCAAATTTCTTAACCTCTTTGTGCTTCAACTTCCTCATCTGTAAAATAGTATCTACCTTAGAATACTGCTTCATAGAATTGTTTTGAGGATTAAGTGAGTTAACTCATTTAAAGGTTTATAACAGTGCCAGACATATAGTAGATATGCAGTAAATGTCAACTTGTCTTATTACTATCTGTTTTATATTTGAGAGATACATAGAAAATTTCTTTTGAAAAAATTTTTTGATAAATTTGAAAACTGTACTGTATATCATGTTACGTGTTGTAAAATTCAGACTCTGTAAACCAAGGATTGTAACTATTTTCATTCATTTGTTCAAGTATATTTAAAGTGTCCATTGTGTGCTGAAAGCTTTGATAGCTAAGTCCATGATTGATGCCTCTTCTCCATAGGAATTTCCATCAGATTGGAGCAAGGAGAGGTAGGGAAGTGTTTTAGAGAGAAAAGTAGTCTGGCATGTAATTGATTTAATTATATATTGAGTGAATGAAGCAGGTTAGGCTTTAGGGATTGCACAGATCTCAGTCTATTAAGATAACAATACTAATTCATACAAATAGAGAAATGTACTTGTGATTGACTTTTAGTAAAAAGTAAGATATTAACATCAAATGTGCATAATGAGAAGAGGATAAAGATAAATGTACATTTTCTTGGGAATTGCCTGATAGTTTGGGGGCATGAATTTACCAAAAGAATTCCACATTGATTTGGGATTGAGGCAGAAAGTCACCTGTGCTCATTTGGTCAGTTTGAAGACTTTCTGAGAGTAAGGCAGAAGTGTTCTATACATAGGTTCCATTCCCTTGAAAAGCTGTTAATGTATAAAAAAATAGCAACAGATTGTTGTGGGTAAAGGAGAATAATGACAACACGCAAATCTTGTAGCCATCTGAGCTAGATGTCAAGGAACTTGAGTTTAGTGTCTCTACATTTATTTTTTCTGACAAATATACCACCTTTTTTTTTTCTAAATTATAGGGGTGTGAATACTTTTTCTCCTGAAGGAAGATTATTTCAAGTGGAATATGCCATTGAGGCTATCAAGGTATAGTATCAAGAGGCATAGTTTTTCAAATTTCATAGCAACTTAATGCTTTGCTTGCAGAACATTTGGAGTAAATGTGTTTTAGCTATTCCTTTAGAAAATGTTCTTTATCTGCCTTCAACCAATCACTGTTAACCATGTTAATAACAAGTTCAATCCCATTCCTAACATCTATTTTAAAACTTTTTCAACAGATAGCTGCGTCATAATTATGTAAGTGGCTTCTTTTCAGTGGGGTTGAGGGAACATGTTTGTGTTTATAATCTTCTTGGCTGTGAAGAGAGGGGTATAGAAGTTCAGAGTTAGCACCTGGGAAATATTTTGAACAAATCATTTAACTAATCACCTGTATTCTTGTTGGTAAAGTTGTGAATTTGTACTAGACACTTTCAGGATTGAATAAGAGACGTGTCCGGTAGTCTAGTAACAAAATCGAATAGTTCAAACCAGTACTGAAAAGTTAGTAGTTAGAAAGTAAGTTATCTAAACTTAGAGTTAGTTATCATGTGGGATCTATGTTTGTTGGATTATGGATAATGTAAATTCTGGTTTAGGTTGTCTAGGATAAGGTCCAGGCATCAGGATTTTTAAGGACTCTCCCAGTGAGTCT